ATTACTCTGCAACCTAAGAGGAAACTCAGTTCCCTGAGGCGGCTGGGGCCATGCCCCTGTTGCCACTATTTCAACCTGTGGTGCCCTGGGAACTCTTATAACCATACCATTTGTCTTATTCAATGGGCCAGTAAGTATTTGGCCACCTCTCTCGTACGTGTCTTGAGTAACATTGTCCCTGGTGGCCTTTTCTAGAAAACACCACAGCGGACAGTAATCATGGGCTGTAATGTCTGACTCCTTTCTGGCTTCATATCCCTCTAGGGACACTTGCTCAGGCAAGAAAACATCTCTGCCTTAGAAAACTGAGCTGCTGGAGTTCTAGCTCAGGCTCTCCTCTCCTGCTGCCTTCCCCGTTCAGGAGCTTCCATGTGGACCCTCTAACCATAACTCACTCCTCTATTTTGGCTCCCCTTTCTCTGGCTGTCCCAGTAGAGCAGCTCTCCTGCTCCTGGACCACCGACCACCCGCGGGATTAAAACTATTTCCTTGGGCTGCGGAGACTCCCAGCTCACGGTAAGACTGCGGCCGCTTTCCCCATCCAGAGAGAACGCCAGGATGCCTGGTCCTCCTTCCACGGGCCAATGACCCTGGGATGCCAGGCCTTTTTTGGTCCATGGCTTCAGGGTACTCTTGGCTACAGGCATAAGACTGAGATGTCAGACTATAGCCTGTGGGCTTCACCTCGGGAAGCTGAGCTCTGAAGATCCCCCTTCCCCACAGTATCCTGCCCTTCAGAGGGAAAGCCAACAGTTGATCCCTGCTGGGACTCCCCTGGGCTGCATCTCAGCCAAAAGCATGGCCCATAAATAGGAGCATAAATTCAACCACTTCGCTCCAGATTAATCTCTTCTACAATACACAAGGCAAATGGTCTAAAATACTGTATATCCAGATTTTTTATTTGATGAGGGACAGCAATGATCTCCTAAAGAAATGCAAAATAACTACCTTGGCCATGGTTACTATCAGTGACCTGCTGTCCCCAACACCTCCTTGAGAGGGGGACTCTCTTAAATGTATGTCCTCCCCTGGTCTCCCTACCATATACCCCTCATTTAAAGGATAAATTTCTCACCCAATCTGCCTCCGATATTAGTCAAAAACTCTAAAAGGCAATCCAGGAACCCAGAGTAACTCTTGATAAATGCTAACCATTGCTGCCACAGATTTGTTTGTTTGTTTTGTTTTTTCAGGAGAAGGAAACAAGGAAAGGGGCCAGGCATGCCCAAGTGATTACAACCCTTCAAGGGCAGCCACCATCCCTAAACCTCTGGCCCCCAGCAGCCTCAGACAAGCCTGATGATCAACACAACATCTGCCACTGACCTGGTCAGTGGGCCAAGAAATGTCCCCATAAGGACATACCTTCAAGATCTACCTGTTTTTGGCGTAACAAACAAGGTCATTGGGTGGCCCTCTGTCCCTCCAGCCAGATGGCCCGTGAGGGAGAATTGGCCTGCGATCTGCAGGTGGTTGTCTGGGATTGGAGAAGCCCCTTCCAAGGACTCCTGGCCTGGGGGTTTCCAGATCCCACAAAGCCCTTCCAGTTCTATGTTCATAAGAGAGGAGGAATAGCCTTGGGGGTCCTCACCCAATGGCTGGGTCCTACCCAACAGCCCATGGGATACCTCTCCAAGCAGCTAGATCCCACTGCTCGAGGCTGGCCTTCCTGCCTGAGTGTTGGGAGCCCTTTCCAGTCTCCTGGAGGAAGCTTTTAAACTAAATATGGGGCCCCTATACAGACATATGCTAACCACCAAGTTTCTGATCTTTTAAAGGCAAGGGACATTTCTGGCTCTCAGATGCTCGGCTTCTTAAATATCAGGCATTATTATTGGAAAACTCAGATGTCACTGTCTCCGTTTGTGGGACACTCAATCCTGCTACACTATTACCATCACCAGATGAGTCTCTTCCCTTTCACCTATATCATGAGACCCTATCCATTTCTCTAGGAGCTAGAACAGATCTCACCAACCAATCCCTGGAAAACCCTGATGAGATCTGATTCACTGATGGGAGCCACATATTCTTGTGAACCTCCTAGCAACACTCCGGTGAGACTGTTACATCGCCCTAGGGGACTATGGATCCCTGTTAGATAAATCTCTTAAATGTCTACTGGCTCTAATCTTTTCTCTTTTAGGGATCCCATCAAAGTGTTTTAATACTAATTTAAAATGTCTCTGACATAAGGGTCCCTCTTTTTACTCCTCCTTTAGTTCACTGGACTAACATTCCAACATCTGCTTTCTAAAACCCAAACCAACAAAAAGCACAGAAATTAATTTTTTAAAGACAATTTTTCCATTTAAGTAGGTATGACCCTTGTTTGCCTCCTCCATTCCTTGGCTAGGATTAGCTCTATATATTTGACCTCTATCTTTTCAACTTTCCTATGAAATGTATTTCTTGTCTAGAGATCAACTTCAAATGGCCATACAACAAGGTAATCAACCAATCGGCCAAGACATCTTTTATACAAGCCCCTCGATGGACACTGACCCTTCACTCACCACCTGCCCAGTGACAGCCAGCAATTCTGGGACCCCAACAAGCTCCATCATAGCCCCAGATCAGCAGGAAGCTAGAGAGGTCATCACCCTCTATGTCCCAAAGATTTGGGGTCCTATGACTAGAGGGGGGAATGTTAGGTAGTTTAGATAGAAATGAGCATGGGGCAGGGGGAGAGGAAGGGGAAAGGAACAATCCAGAGCACAAGGAACCTAAGCTGTCAGTCAACCAGAGTGCAGGGAACCTGAGTTGTCAATCAATCAACCAACCAACCAACCAATCATTCAATCAATCAATCATGAAACCAGGATATAAAAACAGGAAAAACAAAGGAATGGCATCATTTTCCCTCTCTTGGAGTGGCCCGCTCCCAGTTCTCTCAGGAGGGTACTAACTTTCACTATTTCTTTACTTCACTAATAAAAATCTTGCTTATATCATGCTTTTTGTCTCTTGTCAAAATTTCTTTTTTTTGTGTGACTAAGAACTGAGGTAATTCTTATTTCCCCTTCCCAGTAACAATTTGGGCTTCATCTTTTTTTTTCTTTTTTATAATGTAAGGATCTTACTATCAAAGCTTCCTAATTACAGGCATTGAGTGCAGTAATTTTACCCAAGACTGATAAAATGTCTGTAGAAAGATTATCTTGACAATCATAGAAAGTATTGAAGATGGAAGAGTTTAAGTAATCTTAATCTTTCTAATATTAGCTATTCATAAATGTGTTATAAAAGAAATAGAAAAACTTCTAACCCCAAAACTGAACATAATTGGTTGACAAATATGTAAGATCATATCATATATGCATGTTTATATAT